AATTGCATTTATAGATTTTAAAGTGTAGATCTTTTGTTGACTTTTCCCACTTGGGTCAAAATATGGGAGGATATTTTGTTTAAGTATATATGGGGACACACATTTTTCTTTTTGGCCCAGGCCCCAACCTGGCTCTACATGCCATTTAAAGAATCTTAGAGCAGGTTGAGAAAAGGAAAGTAAAACAATAAAGAAAATCTGAATTTTTCAAGAAGCTAAAAAACACACAGCCTATCTGCTGGTAGCTTTTTCCCATTTGTGCCTATTTTGTCTCCCCCTAAGTCTCAGCCTATGAAGTAATCGAGATGGTTTCTGAGCTCAATCTATCTCTTTCTGGTGTCTCTCAAGCCTGGTTGTGGTGGAAGGTTTGGGCGGAGCCTTACTGTGAATTAAGGTCAGATCTGTGAGAGAGCCTAAGAACTCAAGGTCTTAAATGCCAGCAGAAAGCCCAATGAGATACCATCTCACACCCATTAGAATGGCTACTGCAAAAACAAAACAAAACAAAACAAACAAACAAAAAAAACCCCAGAAAATAACAAGTGTTGCTGAGGATGTGGAGAAATCAGAATCCTTGTGCATTGCTGGTGGGAATATAAAATGGTGCAGCCACTATGGAAAACAGTATGGGGATTCCTCAAAATATTAAATGTAGAATTGCCATATGAGCCAGCAATGATACTTTCGGGTATATATCCAAAAGAATTGAAAGCAAGGACTTGAAGAGATATTTGCACACGCATGTTGATAGCAGCATTATTTACATAGCCAAAAGATGGAAGCAACCCAAGTGTCCATCAATGGATGAATGGATAAACAAAATATGGAATATACCTACAAGGGAACATTATTCAGCCTTAAAAAGGAACGAGATCCTGATACATGTGACAAGGATGAAATTCGGGGACACTAAGCTAAATGAAATAAGCCAGACATAAAAGGACAATGTAGCATGATTCCACTTATATGAGAATAGAGGACAGTCAAATTCATAGAGACAGAGGGTTGCAGGCAGAAGAGAATAGAGAGGTACCATTTAGTGGGTACAACGTTTCAGTTTTGCAAGATGAAAAAGTTCTGAGGATGGATGTTGGTGGTGGTCGCACAACGGTGTGAATGTACTTAATGCCACTGCACTATATGCTAAAAAATGGTTACATGCATATTACCACAATTTTTTTTTAAAGTAATTTTTGAAAAACCTTGGTGGAAGATTTGGACAATAACAAAAGGCGATCATTTTGGGTTGCTGAGCAAAGAAATGGCAGAATAAAAAAATCTGTACTTTAAGAAGGTGAAATTGTCAACAGGTGCTGCCAGATTGTAGCAGGAAGAGACAAAACCCTCTTGGAGGAATCCCATCAGGATGGGACATCACCCTCTGTGAGACTAGAGGAAAAGGAACCAGAAAAAGAGTCTTAATATAATTATTTTTTAAGAGACAAGACTTGCTCTGTCACTTAGGCTGGAGTGCAGTGGCGCGGTCACAACTCACTGCAGCCTCAAATTCCTGGACTCAAGTGATCCTCCTGCCTTAGCCTTCCAAGTAGCTGGGACTACAGGCAGATGCCACGATGAGGGGCTAATTTAAAAATTTTTTTAGAGTTGGGGTCTTGCTGTGTTGCCCAGGCTGGTCTACAACTCCTGGGCTCAAGCTGTCTTCCTGCCTTGGCTTGTCAAAGTGCTGGGATTACAGACACAAGCAGTTACAACTGGCCAAGAGAGAGAATCTTAATACTTCAATGAGTGTAGGATATAGAACAAATTCAGAGCAACTGAATTTAAAAACAGCTGGCTAAGGAAAAGACAGTTTTTAAAGAAATGACAAATAGGCGTATCTTAAAAATGAAATCCATTAATTTTGTGAAAATGTGTTTTAAAAATATATTTGAGTAGAGGACTGGTTTTATTATGTGAAGATACAGATTTTATTCACAACTATTTAAATGGGTGCAAATATCATCTGCTTGTATTATTGAATATCTCCTGATATAATAGGCAATTGGATCCCTCTCACACATTTATCGTCCTATAAAAAAGGCAGAGACAATAGCAGAATTTCTGTAGCTGAGGGTTGTATATTTTGCAGTTCCCCAGATACCATTTTAGCACGCACTTTTACAAATGAGTTTCTAACTCACAAAAGTAGCTATATACTTCCTTGGAGGGTTTAGTCTACATAAGCATTTGTTGTAACAAATTTTAAAAATGCAATAAGCTGTATTTAAATAATGGAATGCCATTTCCGACTTGCTCAAGAAAAACAATTGTGGATATGATAAATAGTGAGAAAGGCAAAGATAAATTTTATTCTAGCAAGAGCAATTTTGCTTTATCAACACAAAAAGCATGTGCAAGGCAAATAAGTTTATTCTTTTCTTTCGAAAAGGATTCAGCTGATGAAAATTCTGACTATAGACCCTTCTCTTCTGCTTTCATTTTAGTTGAAGAAATTCCAGGTTGGACCCCAACTTTCTTGGTGGTTATGGGGATACTGGTGGCTTTGGCTGGTCTTTTTGTGCTGCTGGTTTTCCTTCAATATAGAAGACTTCAAAAAGGATATACACCCCTGATGGAGACACATTTAAGCAACAAGAGATACACGGAGGAAGCCTAGGGTGTTTCTGCCTTACACAGAGAAGCTGGCCAAGCCATAGATCTGACCTTGACAATAAACAAACTAATCCTCACTGTTCTTTCTTTAGTTGAACGTCTTTGGCAGGGTCCTCCTATTGTAATGATAATCCCAAATACAGAAGTTGCTTAGCTGTACTTTCTGCTTTGCTTGTTTGTTTAACAAACATAAGTTAAAGTGCATGGGGCTATCTCTATCAGCAAATAAAGATAGACTTGACAATTTATGGTATATGATAATAATTCCCCATATCGATTCAACCTCCTCCTGTTCTGAAAACACCAAAAAAAAAAAAAAAAAAGAAATTAAGTGGATTCATTTAAATTTGTAAGTCACTGTAATTTGAGACCTTGACAAGACCGTGGTCTGGCCCTTAGCACTTGTGTCTTCATTTGTAATTGCGTGGAGGTGGTGGTGGCAGGAGCTCGGTGACTCTCCAAGGTCCCTTTTAGCTATAAAGATGTATGCTTCTAGGTGTCCTCCTGATCGTCTTCCCTTTGCCTTCTTTTTCCTCTTTTCTCTGTTTTTTACCCTCCAGCTTTGAAGATAAAAATAGGCCCTTTTTCCATATAGGATGGGGGATGATTAAATAAAGGATCAATTCAGCTCTATTGTGTAAATTAGACTTTACAGATTTTTTTTCAAATCTGCAGTTCTTGACAGTTAGACCTATTACAAGATTCAATAGTTGGATAAACATTGATCCTATAGTGATAAATAAACATAGAAAAGAGTAACATTATAGAGCTTAATTAATACACTGTTCTAAACCTATTAACAAATATAGAATCACTCTATTCAGGGAAGGCTGGTTGGAGAAGGCTGGTGAGACTATAATCCTGAACGCGAGACAATTTGATTAGAGTCCCATTACTCTGCGGTCTCATTCGGCTGATCCTGCACCAATTCCTTTGCTAGGTAGCTTCAGATGAAAAATTATTCCCATGTAATGCACTTTTTGAGAGTCGACTTTAGAATCATTAATGCTGCACTGTACTGACAGTTACTTAGGAATGCTAATCAATGAAGTCTTATCATTGCAAAGCAAACTGTCTGTGTAAAATATGACAATTCAGAATTAAATGGTGATGTTCTGCTAAGCAATCATCCGATCATGAAAAATAAGAATGAGGCAATCTGTATTATGATGTTCAGCCTTATCTTGATGGGCCCCACTTCTGAGAAGTCAGTGGTTATGGAGATTTCAAGGCAAATTTCATCTGCTCATATTTGATATCTGTGCATCTAGAGGGTGGCCTGTCTGTGGGCTCGCACTGGCCCCTCTTACAGGAATGGATGGGTGTTAAGAAGGCCCTAGAGCTGCCTTCTACATGCCAGGGGACTAGAGGGTAAAGGTTCACCAAGAACTGGTGTTATTCCCTGGAATAGGACTACTAAAGCCAGGGAAGTGGACAAAGCCCAGTTGGAAATGAATTTGAGTTCGAGTCTCATAAATTGACAGGTGTATATGACAGTAGGCTCAGCACAGCAATGAGAATCATAATCGCCCAGAGTCCTTCATGGAGTGAAGCCCTGCTTGGGCTTTCTAGCCACAGCTACGTACATAGATCTCAATTTCTGCCGCGAATAGTATTCATGGAAAATACAACGGCGCATCACTAACACACTCCCCTCTGGAAGGTTTATGCTCTGAGCTCAGGGTTGTTGGAGAATACATTTTTAAATTCTGCTTTTAAACCAAAAAAGAAATACATTAAAATGAAGATATAATTGTGCATGGTACATATGTTCCTGAAAAGTTATGTATAAATCAATTATATGTTAAAAGCACCAGGGGAAATTACTTTTATAGGTGAACTATTATGAATAATTCTATAAAGCAAATAAGCATGTCTAGCCTTTCAAGTATATCAGAATTTTCATACATCATATTCTCATAAGATTTGGCTAAAACAAGGTTTATCTGAGGTAGAAATAAATAGTAATCATGTATATTTAGCTACTTTCATCTATAGCGTGTGCAACTTTTTATAAGTATTATGTTTTATAATAACTTCCTAAGAGAAATAATTTTCTAATTTTGTAGTTCATATAAGAGGAATGCAATTTTCTAGCATTTTATAACCTTACAATAAATCAGTTATGAATGTCTTTTAACAAATCTAAAAGTATGATAAAACCTGCAGAATAAAAAGTTGGTATTTACTTACATTGAATATTATGCAAATAAACTCAGAAAATGTCACTGAGCATTGCAGGGCCATGCTTCTCAATGGCAGGGAAAAAAATTCGACCTTGATGAAAATGAACAGATCATTTTATATGCTTATATCTTCAGTATTAAAAAATTATATGTATATGAATTATGATTTCAATAGAAATCCCTGTATAAAGCTAAAGTTCAGAAATGAAATTCAATAACATCTTTCTTTTATGAATTAAATTCTCTTCTAATTCTAAAATTCTTTCATATTCATTTGTATCTTGCTTAGAGATACAATTGCTAATTATAAGACTTCTAATGAATACTTTTAATCTCACATTAATAAGAAGTAGAAAACTTATTAAAGAGGAAAATAAAAATAAATGTTTTACAGATTATTGTTCGTCTTTTTGGGGTTTTTGTTTTTTAATTTGTTTTGTTTTTTAATTTGTACTTATCCCCATCTTTTGAGCACTCAACAAATCTATATAAATATATACATGTAAAATTCATAATAACTGACTTCTGAAAATAAATTCTTGAACTGATATTCTACTTTCTGATGTCCCTAAGCAACTGCTACTCCCTGGATCTCTATTGTACAGGTTGGAAAAGGAGACGCTGGCCTCTCACAGGTAAAGTTACCTGTGATATCTCCACAGTCTAATGACTGATCCTGGGTGGAAGTGGGAGGCTACCTCAAGTCACTGACCAGAGAGGAGGGGTACTAACTTGTGATCATCCAGGTAATCCTTCAAGGTCAGTCAGCTTGTTGGAGAACCCAGAGGGAGGAAGTTGGAGTCCATGAGGTAATGGTTACATGGTGCTCACGTCCATGTCCAGACTTGAAGTTAGAGGTCAGTTGTACGTCCCCCTGTACGGCTCCACTGCCATTATATTAATATCAAAGGGCCTTACCTTAAGTGCTCAGAAAGTGGTGATGGTGAATTGATACAGCTGCATAAAATAGCCAGTTCACTCCCAGTGTGAGGTAATTCTTTTCTCCAAGGTAAGGACAAAACCCAAGGTTTTTAACTCTTTCTATTTCTATAGTCCCTTGCTTATCCTGAGTACTTTATAAATATTCTTTCAATGAATAAATGAGTGAATAAACTAATCTCAAAGCAGAATTTTTCATTCAGGGTCTCTGGCATCTGTTTTAACATGTGCTGCACAAAATATACGAGAGTGGATTCTCCTTCTCTGCCATGAAATTAGCAACAACCTATCCTTCAGGTTGTACAAATGCTAGGTGGAATTCTACTCTATGCAACCTAACACAAGGGGACACTCTTCAGCTGTATTTTCTTTCTAGATGCATCTTCTTTCCACCATTGGTAGGCCTTAATTCTGCCATGTATAGGGGCTAGGATAGAAAGTTAAGATTTCCCCCACCTCTCCTCTAATTCCTCACACTTGTCATTTTAGGGCCCTCCACTGTTTGATGTCCTAAAAACTTCGTTTCAGTCAAAGTGGTTAGTAGGCAAATTATTTAGTCAGACAAACCAGTGCCTCTCTCACCCTGATAGCTCAAGCAGCATTGCTTTAGAAAGTCTCCAAAGATGACTCAGTGCTTTGACTTTAGCTGTTACAGCAGTTCAAGCTGAAAATAACCCCTGTGAATTTAATTTTGCTTTGGCAGGTAGTTTAATGAAATCTTGAAAACAACACACAAGAGAATCGTGAGCTAGAGGATAAGTTTAAAGTTTTCTAAAACATGACAAAACAAAGCAAACAAAAACATACGGCCTGGTATGCTCTATATATTTTCACCAGGACTATGTCTCCTTGGTAGAAACCATTAACCCACTGTGCTATTTGCCACATCAACTGAAGTCAGACTTCTTGGATGGAATATGACTGAATTTGGTCCTTCTATCTTTTTAGCCATTCTCTGCTCCTTTGGCGGTTTATAAACATAAGCTAAAACTATCCCAGTGCATCCCAAGTGTAATTGTTCTGCTTGTAAATAATGCTAAGTAGAAATGCTTGAGCTTGGCCTTATTATAATAGGGATTTCACTGCCAGAGTTACACATCCTGTGATTGCTCATTCACTTGGTACGCTATCGAACATTTCTGAATTTGCAATTAGCACAATGACCGTCTTGATTACTACTGGAGTGGAATTAGGGTTACAATAAAGCAAAATCTGCCCTCTTGTGTTTTATTAGAAAATTGCACAATGTAGTAAAGTTCGCTCAGCTATTTTCCTCTACCATGCTTAATTGCTGGGCCATAGGGGAAAAAAATGCTGGAAGATTTGCCCTGAATTCAGAAATCAGAACAGATAAAGCACAACAGTTAGAAGGAAATAATTTCCTGCACAGGGTCTCATATTTTCCTTTTTAAATCTATTTTGAAATGTTAAATGTCGACTAGCAAGCCATAAAATTTAGGGGAACAATTCAGGCCACTGGGCAAAACTCTTTTAGCCTTGGCAAATACACACAGAATATTACTTAGTTAAATATTATTTATATGATCATAGTGCAGCTGGAGACTGGGGTAGCTTCTTTTTATGTTAAAAACTGTTATTAAGAGGGAAAATTGGTCTTCCTGCTTCCGTATCACTGGAAAAGAAAAGAAAAAAAAAAGAAAAAATTGGGGGAAAGTTTTTAAAACAAATATTGGATCAGTATATTAAAATTAGATATAAATATTTGGCGCGTGGCTGTGATGGCGGCTAGCGGGGCCGTGGAGACCGCGCCCCCGGGGGCCACCACCGCCGCCTGGCCCGGCCCTCCCCCGTCGCTCGCCCCGGGACACTTGTTCCGGCCCCTCAGCGCCGAGGACGAGGAGCAGCAACCCACCGAGAT